TAGGGTGCTTTCAAATGCTAACAACATTGTAGTTTGTTTAGAAATGCATACTTATTTAATATATTCTAAACTAGAGTCTTTAATCATTAATTTCATTTACTTCAGAAAATCCTTTAAGCCTTTTATTGTTTCAGACTGTGAACTAAATTCAGTAATTTGTAGTAGATATGAAAAGCAGAGTGATATATTCCTACGCCATTGTTCCGCCAAAAATATAGTCCATGCTAGATTTTAAACTCAGTTTCCCATTTCTAAATCAAATTGTACATTTAATTTGTGAGAAGGAAAGAAAAATATGATCTTTTAATTCCAAAACTTCTCAATGTAAAAGACGTTTAAGCAAATATGATTTGAAAATCTGAATTAGCCACAAACCAGACAAGAATTCCTCCTTAAGACTCTCTTGCATAAAACGCTATCCTATTATTGTTTCCTTAAAAAAAGACCTTATACCTTATGATGGGGTCTTGGAATAACCTTTGAACATGCCATTTAACAGCGAGAAGTACATGTTTTATATATATCCTCTGTCCCCCTTTTAACGACAATATCCAGGCCTTAAAATCTACTGAAAGAATTGAGATGGAAATTACCCAGTGCTTATCAACATATTCTTCCGCTTACGTATAGTTCTTTCAGAACATTAACACTTTGGATTTAATTTCGATGTCATGTTACACTGAATTTTTAACTGAGCAATGATCTCATTAGAAATGATACATTACTCATGTTCCTAATGTTATTGAAAAAAGAAATTGTTAAGAATTTATTTCCATATTCTTATAGAATAAGCTTACATTTTATAGTACCTAGGATTTACCTACCATTGTTTATTTCTAAAAAGACATGTCGATGCATTCTGGGTTATACCAAACATAGTTAAATTTCACTGATTCCGGGGGTCTGAATCAGTCGGGGGTCTGAAGACAATATTTTCCTGTCTCCCAGACACTTAACTGTCGGGGAAATTTGAGATGTTCGCTCTTCGTATCCGTCAGCTATCAGATCACGCCATCAAGACGAGAAGATAAAACGTTTAATGAAAGAAGTTTCCGCATCTCCTTATTATACAAAATCACTGTAAGTACATCCAGGATTGATCATTAAATAAATTGAGTATTGTGTCTAAGACCATTGAGAGTAATTGCGGAGGATTTTGGATGTGTTAAATGATTTTCTGCTAGTTAAAACATCTGCCTGTGGACTTATCTCGTTTTCTTTTCCGAATATCGTTCTGAAACTATTCTCTCCATTAGAGGCACGGAAAAGCGATAAACCCTGCTCGTAACTGTTGGACGAGAATAACATATTCAAACTACATCAAATATACTGTATTTGCCAATGTTTTGGAAATTATGCGTGACCGGAGTTATTCTATTGCAACCATTATCATTTCATTAGTGGGCAAGTCCAAGTGCACTCGTATATAATCTTATTTTAGAACAAAAATACAAAACTCAGCAATTAAAAAAAATGTATCATATCATTACAAATAAATGTACGTAATCAAATTGTAAACACATACAATGATGATAAAATCATGGACTTAATTTAACATCTTAACAAAAACGAATCTTTGGATGGGATGCAAAAAATCTGGTATGTGGATCGTAAAAACAAATACGCTGGACCTAGAACAAATGTTTTAGTTCAAGGTATATTTGGCGCAACATACTGCTTCCTTGTTTCAGGAAGTTGATGATGCAAATTCATCAGTTTTTAAAAGGAAAGACACAAGCAGAATATTGCTACAATTATAAAATATTTACATTAAATTTCCAAACATTTTTCTTTTTCAAATTCGAAAAAAGTTCTCATGAACTACCGTGGAATGAGTAAGAATATTTCCATTGTGACTTAACTGAAGTAAAAAAATAGCGCAAACTTTTCTTTTCAAAAATGATCGTTGAATGACAAAAATATGTGGCAGGTCATCACAAAAATAATGTGAATATAAGATATGAATTTAATTTTTGAGAATTCATGAGGTACATGAACTACAACACTTCACGCCTGCATACTAGTATTTATCATGAAGCGCTAACAATATGCCGGCGTGAAGCGTCGTAGTTCATGTCTACATGAATTCTCAAAAATCAAATTCATTTCTTAAATAGATCATTCTGAGTTGTTAAATCATTGAATATGTACCAATGGTAAATGTACAATAAAGTGAAGGCAGATGCAGTACAAAGATGGTTGTAACTAGCTTTAGACTCGCTAACGTATGGAGTGAGCGAATCAGAGGAATTTGTAAAGAAAAATTATCTGAAAGGTAAAATAAAAATATATATCACTAAAGCATAGTCTGGCATGTGATATTCAGCTGTAATATATATTCAGAATAACTTGTGTAGTTCGTTGATTATTTAAAGATAAACATGCGATTACTGTGCAAAAATGAATATGGTTACTATTAGAAATCTGTTCTGACCATGTGTTTTCTGTTATCTATAGTACAAAATTAATGACTGTCACACCTGATCCGTACAAATACTGTCAATTTAGGTTTTAGATGATAACGAATACGTGTTCATACACACTTATCTAATAGCATATAATTTGAAAGAGAGTTCTAGAGAGAGGGAGAGAGAGAGAAAGATAAAGAGAGAGAGAGAGAGAGAGTAATTGTAGAACTGTGCCAATAATATTTTAAAAAACTATAAACATATTAAAACAAAGCATATGCCTAATACATTTTCAAATATATACTTATCTAATAGCATATAATTTGAAAGAGAGTTCTAGAGAGAGGGAGAGAGAGAGAAAGATAAAGAGAGAGAGAGTAACTGGAGAAGTGTGCCAATAATATCATTTTAAAAAAACTAATAAACATATTAAAACAAAGCATGTGCCTAATACTTTTTCAAATGGATTTGTCCAAGATCAAACAACAAATAAGGAAATAGCTTTATATCTTCATAAAACTTACCACGTGACAGAACTGCGCATGCCCTCTCATGGCTTATAATACACTGGGCGAGGCTGTTAGACTTAGATTTCCAATTACTGGTATTGACAAAAATATCATAAAAATATCATTTTTTTTAAAATTAAATCAAGCATGAGGTAAGAATGTAAATATAAGGAATAACCTTTTCTTATGAAGATGATCAAACAATTTGCTTACGTGATAATTTTATGCAAAAACGCATTCGGCGTTTATGCAAATTATCCCATGAGCAGATTGTTTGATCACGTCATAAAAAAAGACACTTATCCCTTAAATAGTCTATAGTGCATTTTAATGAGAGAGGGATAAAGGACTTACATCAACTTACCATTCCTTTAGTCCTAAAAGTCTTCATCGGTTCTGGTTTTTCAGTTTTGAACAGAGAAACTGTCTCAATTTATCTTAATAATGGTTATGTATTAATCCAGCTTTGAAATGAAGAATTATTATATTTATCCTGCACTCTTTATAATTTTGTTATATTTTCTGATGAATATTAATTTTTTGCAATATATTTTAAGGTTCTTGTGTTACCTTTTTTGTACTTCGTAAATTTTTTTTTCAACTACAATATCATGCAAATTAGAAGATTCTTAATTAGTTTTACACCGCGACAAAATTTCATATTTATCAAGAGTAATCAACAATGCATCATTAACGTGTGACAACAGGTTACATTATTAAAAAGATAAACTCTACCTGCTATCATATTCCCTTCTTCACCAATTCACTAAATTTCATTATATGACTGTTATTTGATCATGAGTTTCCAAAGCAATATTACTTGTAATTCAAATATTATTTCCTCAATTTGTTGTCATTGCTATGAAATTCGGGACATATTATTGCCCAAGGCATTAATCAAAATTGCCATCGCATAATTTGATATCAAAGTTTCAGAATATAAATGTAAAGTTTTGAAGTACCATGCATGGTAAGTAATAAAGTGAACACTGTAGTTAATTGTGGTTAATTTCAGTGATCTGTTGTTAGAAATTCCTCGAATAACATCACTAGGATAATATTTGTTGGTTTGAATTTTTCTACATTCATTCCATTTTTGAGCAACATGAAAAATAATATATTTTTTAATAGTACATGTGAATTTGTTCTATTATAGGCACTAATTTTGCATATAGTAAGAAATACCATTTTATTATTTCTAAAATACTTGGGCAAGTCATTAGAGTATTATTTTCGCCTTTAGCATCAGCTATATCAGATTTTATGACTGTTTCCTAAAAACTTCTTAAATAGCTGACAGCAATACACGTGGGTATAGCATTGTTCCTTGTTCTTAATTTCCCAAGATAATTCCATTAGCAAAGATAATTGTGATTCAAATGATTTAACAATATTTTAATCTGATACAAACTTAACCTTTCTTTCTATATATTTATATATATATATAGATCAAATCAAATCACAGTAAAGAAAATATCCCAATGTCATCTATGTCTTTGCATTTGTCGGAAAGTACCGAAGTATATATAATATATAAGAAATGAATGCAACAATAACCTGAAATTTTTTATCGCCAATTAATAATCTCCTACAGGTGAAACCGAAGGGTACAATAAGTTTCTTTTGTCTGTCCGTCTGTCTGTCCAACCTGTTTTTTTTTCGCACTTTTTTCTTACATGCTTGTTGATATTGAGCTGACTTTGGTTTATGAGTCTACCTTGATGAGTTACAGATCATGTTTCCATTTCGTTCCACTTCAATGATTTTGACGGAATTACGTCCTTTTTAATACAGTACTCTCGGACTGCTTGTTTTAATTATTTTCTATTATTTATCAGAAATTTAAACGATTTTGTCTCAAATTAGATAACAAAATGATAGTAAAGGTAATAAAAAATATATCAATTCAAGCGTTTTCACTAAAAGATTGAAATGAATGTATATATATTCGACCTCATGGGTTTTTAAATACCCATGTACTTGAATTATGTATTACATATTTATTGAGTTCATTACAATCATGCATTTTTTTTAAATTCAGATTTTCATTCCTAAATCATTTTCAAACATGACAATGAAATGCTTGGTTTTGCATCTGTTATTAAGTTATTATTTATTACACAACTACGTGTACACTTAAATATAAATGTGTGTGTATAATATAAAAGACAAAGGGGTTTAGGTGATAAAGTTAGGTAGAGAGACAACATAAATGTGTAGCTACTGGGTGTCCATCGGGACATCCGCTTCTTGACCAGTTTGTTGTTCAGTAGCACTGTTGATTTCGTGTTCATTTTCACAATCGTCCTGACATGAATCTGTAAAGTCATTTTCAATTTTAATGTCATTTTCAACTATTTTTTCGACTTTAATGTTGTCACAGCACATGTATGTTTCTCGACATTTGTCATCGGATGATGGTGAGGAATGGTTGTCTTCACGTTTAATGACGATGGAACAAGGTGAGTTGCTTGGATTGTCGGCCATCTGTTTACTCATCGAAACGGTCTTTTGCACGTGAGCGCATTTCTCCACACTTAGTTTGTGTTCTGCGGCCTCGGCGTTCGAAATGTTCTCCTGTTTTTTCCATTTAGTCCGACGATTCTGGAACCATATCTTAACCTGAAAAATAACAATGTGTAAACAAAATCTGTGTCCATTGATAAATTTAGCAGAAGTCTTTGAGTCTTACCAAGTAAGCGTTTATTCAACAACCGTTTACTGTCAAAAATGTGTCTGCAATAAGTGGCATGGTGATAACAAAAGCAGACTCGTTATCAGGAAAAAATGGACAGTTAATTGGTATCACGTGTAAAACTGTAATAGATATGCCCAGTATGTTCCAGACTGTAGGATTTAAATTGAAACTAACACATATCTCTCTACCTTGTTTGCTTCTGCAGCTCCCCACAGCTAATGCTACCATAGGATAATTGGTTAATTGTTTTGCCAGTTATCCACTCATAGTAATAACAATTACTTAATGCATTTATTGCCTGTAATTATTCTATGGACCCTCTTGGAAGAGGCGCATTACTGTTTAGATATGTTTTCCTTACATCAACCCTCTTTTCTATTCTGTCTTGCTCAAAGTAAGCACAACATATAAAAGTGTCTTTTAAGAGCAGATAGATTTGAAGTGCATGGGTTTTGCATCAATAGAATTCAATTATATAAAACAAATTCCCATTAAATCATATTTAAAAATCTTATGGAAGTAAGTAACTATTTTCTTTCGTCATTTCTATAATGAAAGTAGATTCTTTCTTATAAATTTAAATAAATTGTTCAGTAAGTTTCAGATATTCAAGATATTTTATGGTGAATACGTGTATAATTGCACATACCCTGTAAAATTACACTTGATGGGGAATAAACTTGCGCTTAACAACCTTTGACCTAGAAATGTGACGATCATTAAATGATACTATTGTTTTGCTGGAATAGCTGAATAAAAAAAAATGTTTTTTCAGAAATGCATTCTAAGCTCTAACAAACGATTGCAAAATAATTTATGAACTATTAAAAAATCATTACCTAAAATGGGTATAAAAATTCTAGAATAATACAAGTTATGCTGACAAACTAAGAAATGTGTGTGAACGCAATTTGGGGTGTGGGGTGTGTGGGTGTGGGAGTGTTTAAATGCTTTACCTGCGTTTCTGTGACATTGAGCAATGTCGCCATTTCAGCTCTTTCTGCCGATGACAAATACTTTTTCTGTTCAAACTGCTTTTCTAATTCAAATATTTGGCGCCCAGTGAAAGTTGTTCGCGCTTTTTTCTTCTTTGTCGGCTGCTCCGTAGATTCGCTGTCATCTGTTTTCTTCCTTTTCTCCACGTCGACGGACTCATTAGTGACTAGGAAAGATGAAAAAAATTGAATATTTATATTTTAATTATATTTATTAAACAATATTTTTATAGATCATGGCTTTTTGCCATGAACCGAATTTTTTTTAAAAATCTTAAATATCGTGAAATTGAAAAATAAAACTTTGAAATGCGTATAAATATTCGAAGACACACACATGCAAAATGAAGAAAGAATGGAAAAAAATGTATTAGAGGATCTCATATATATATATATATATATATATATATATATATATATATATATATATATATATATATACTGTACTTATCTATCTAATATTTTATTTATTGTAACATGAAATGAAATGAACAGCAGGAATTAATGACTATAAATTTTCTCTCAACAAATATTTATAATACTTATTAAATCTAAATATTGACAAAAAATATCATATTAATAAGAATTTATAATACATGCATATTTAGAATTTTGCTTGATATTTTTTTTTTTACAGTGATTAAGAAATCTATAAATAGGTGACCATCAAGAGATTTTTTGAAGTTAAATAAGAAATGTCGTTATCTTATATACATGTAATGCCACCAAATGAAATTTTAAAAAAAATAAAAATAAAATAAGTTTTGATTATTTTAGATGTGTATTTCAGTGTCCATGATTAATTACAAAACATTTTATAGGATACACCTGCATTTTAGAGTATATATTTATTGTTCATTCACTAATCAAGGTCCCTCAGGGGGCATTTACAATTAAAACAGTATGATTAAAATTTAAGTTTATTATACAATATAAATCATTTCTACAATGGAGTTATACATGGAAGATGTACAAAACCACATTTAAGAGTACATATAGTTATAGAATATACGAAATCGCAATACATGTATTATTTCATATTTGTATTGCAAAGTATACATACATTGTATATGCAATATGTTCTTTTTACAACTTTAACTGTCATGACATTCCCTAAGATAAATTTGTGTACCTTCTAAAACATATAACATTTTAAGGTTATCATTATTTTTTCTAGAATCAAATACAATCGGTATAAATTCACGTTTACAAATAATTTCTAATTTATTAATAATTTGGTTTAAAAACACGTGCTTTGACGGCAAAAGAATGCTTTAATGATCTTCCTAGATTTTTTGCCCATCATTAAAGTTGTACCAGTGCATTTAAATGGGAAAAAATCTACAAAACTGAAATGTCAATGGGTCCGATTGCATACTCAATATATAACGTTACACATCTTCACAACAATCAAACCAATAAAGAAGAAAATATTTGTACTAATATAAGAAAATACAATCTTGTGGTGACATTAACATGTGGTCTAATACACCATTTAAGAATAGGAGGCTCAATATTAACTTTCTGTTATAGTTTTCGATTGTTTCCAGATGCAAATGCTGTCAGCCGCTCATCACGAAAAACCAGCAGGCGCTAAATCCTAATCACTGATTAGTTATCCCAATAGAATAGAGATTTCTGATTGCCCTGGATCGATTTTCTACTAATTTCGATAAACATAAGTGACGGGGGGTCAAGAATTAATTTTATGACCAAGCGATTAGAATGCGTGGCTAATTATGACATCTTCAGAGATTGGGATCGACATGCATTAAATACCGAGCGTGGTGACTTTGACATGCGGCAGGGAGACAGTTACTGTCCCTTAACGATGCCAAATATAGGTACATGAGTGGTTCATATTTAATTTGAACAAGACCATTGAGGTGATGGTGACTTTAATTGTCATATAACGATATCATTATATAGGTAAATATTAATCTACTTTTCTTATTATGCGTTATGTATGGAATGTCACTGTGAAAAAATGCAAATCTCTTTGCACTCTTGTTAACCGATTTACAATTTCTCCGTAGTGTATGAATTTAAAAAAAGGAAATTGTTATTCCTACTTATTACTTGACATAAAATGTTCAAAAAAAAAAAATTACTCGGATAAGGTTGGCAGACATTTTTTGACGATTTATTTTTCGATTTACAAGGTTAGAGAATTAAAAATATTTAAATAAAATTGGAGTAGCTTTTATCTTTGATAAGTTATTTTTATTTATTCCGTTTTATTTCTACAAAGTAATAAATTATTAATTTGTTTTCTTAATGTTAATATATAAAATATACAAACATTTAAGTATTCTTCTTTTTTAAAATTAAAAAAAACACCACTTCATTTATTGCCAAAGTGCTTGTGAAAAGCAATTGTTGGATGCCATTGTGAAAAAATACATTCTCGATATATTTTTATTAATTTTATAATGCAAAATTTGATTAGTTTTTGGCAAGAAATATATATATGTAAAACATTAAGTTATGTAAAAAAAAAAAAAAAAAAAAAAAAAAAAAAAAGAGCAATTTTATAGCTGATATATTTGTAAATAATTTGAATTCTTGTTGGTTCTTATCAATTGGTTTTTAAAAAGCTTAAAAATTGAAAGTTTTTGTATTTTTAACTTAATTTGTCAATACTAATTAACCAGAAGATTGAGATAAGTCTACAATTATTACTTTCAGAAATTCACTGCATTACGTGCCCACTTAAATAAGTCGGCTCTTGGGAAAGCTAAAAACGTTTAATTTATAGCTCTTTTATAGACGACATTTTTACAAAGCCTCATCAAACGAGCGAAAATTGATACATCGGAATGCTTAATAAAACGTTTTAGTTTTTTAATGAAATCGTGCGACTTTTGTAAATGAGATACAGGAGTGTTACTGGCCTTGAGGGACCGAGGAAATCCTTACTTGTTACAGGAGATCCGCTCTTCAATTGATTGTCGTTTTCTTTTAGTCCACTCAGACACCCACCACACTTGCAGTCGTCCTTGAATCCCTCTTCTGTCGTATAATTGCTACTCCTAAGGGTTTCCTCTCGACTGTTCGGCAAATTGTCGCTGTCTTTATTAATTTTTTTGGCTTCAGTGTTTTTGCTTTGCTCTGATAATCCGAGAATGTGCGAAATGAAGAAAGGCGTTGGTTGCTTCGGGGGTGGATTGTAGATGTGGGGGTGCCAGGTCCGCTGGGTGGTGATGAAATGTACATCCCTGGAGTGGCATGGGGACAAGAAAGCTCCTGGATTTACTCGACACTCCATCGCTGTTTGAACTCTTTCGCAGCTGCTGATTCTTCTTAGACAGAAATCGAAGTTAATTTAAAAGTAATTCCCAAAGTGAAAATAAGGAAGGTTAAAAGAGAAAACCCAGTAAGCCTTCTGTTTTAAAATTTATGGCTATTAAAATTACATCACGGGAGCAGCAGATTAAATGTACGAGGACATATTGTTTTCAAAGCAAAGCGATTTTTTCTTCAAGTGTAAAGCCTTTCTGTTATTGGCAGACAGTCCTCGTTCAATTAAGTAGCAAATGATTTGTCTAAGCACTTACAGCCACGCTCTCATATCGACATCGGTAACGAGAGAAATTAAAGCCACTAAGTCCTCGTTGATATAAATCTATTAGCCAGTTAATGAGGCCAGAGTAAGCGATCCAGTCGGAGGAGGGACCTATACCATCAATCACTTGTCATTCCCTACTGAAGAGTTCCACCTTCGAAATTCACCATATACCCGAATCTCTCCTGACGAGGAAAAACAAGGTTTTCAAACATCGTATCACAGCTTTCTACTGATATTTTGGATTAAAAAGAACAAATTTTCCGCTATGAAGAAGTAATTCAGCATGTCATTGCTGTTATAATAAATTGTCATAAAGGAAAACTGATAAGAAAATATTTGTTTGCCGAGGTGTCGGGGGCATTACTGCAAACGTCTACCTGTTTTTGAATTGAAGGCGTTATCAGTGTTGCCTGCCTAATCCCAGGGTCTGTTCCGAGCAATAAAAGTTATATTACATTACTTATTCAGGATAGAGTTTCTCCATTAATATATTCCTATCCGTTCAAACTCTCTCTGCACGTGTCCAATCTAGAAGCCAAAAAATTTCAGAAGAGCTTGTGAGTCAAAAATTTTCTATTCTTTTTAAGAACACAAAAGCGAAATGCTGATTTTGCTGAAACGGTTAAAAAGACAATGATTCTAAAAGTTGATCTCTGTGTTCTACAAGTACATATAAATGTTAAAAATATTATAGAGTGTGTGGTTGGTGTTTCGTGAAAAAATTACGTGTAGTATAAAAAGTAATAAAAAAATCTAATTAAAAAACCCAAGTTTTTGAAATATATTACATAAAAGTAACAAATTACAATACACGCAATCGGAAGGACTACACTATTCCTAAATGTAGACTCGAAATATTTACGAAAGCTTTTGTTCTTGATTCAGTAGATCAATGGAACAATCTAAATTTTATCACATAATATATACATTTTAAAAAAAAAACCTCAAAACCCAGGGCCCCCTCCTCATTTTTGTCATGCAAACTTAACCAAGACGCAACTGTATTTTGTATTACCTCATGTTGAACCATTAAGTGGTCTTACAGAATAAAAAAAAATGAACTTGGATTATGACCTGTTTAGCAGAAACATTATCGAGGGTCCTAATTGTTCATGTGGTAAACAAAAAAAAACCTCTTATCATTTGTTCTTTGTTTGTATCAATTACCAACATGCTAGGAAGGAACTATTTAGAAACCTTTTATGCCTTACTAAATTAATTGATTATCACCTACAATGTACGTCTTTGGGAGACGAAACCCAAATTGTTGAAATCAGTCAGTATATTTTTCAATCCGTACAATATTTATTAGAGATTCTGGTAGTTTTATTTAAAACCAGAACTCAAGTAAGTTAACTTTTTAAAGAATTATTTAATGAATGGATGTATAAAACAGACATATTTGTACATCAAAGTTTTTCTATAGATATTGACAGTTGTAACAATTTCAGGTAAGAACAACGTTAAGTTGTTAGACCTTGGTTTCGAAGCTTTTGTATTGTTTATTGTTTTGAACATTTTTTAAATGAATCAAAAGGATTGGAAATAAATTTTAACAACTTACTGGTTCCCCTTCTTGAATATTACAATGTGTCTTGCAAAATAATTCATAGAACTGTGAAATTTTACAAATAAAATAAGTGAAAATTCTGTTCAATAACATAGCAATCTAAGATCTACAGGTTTCATCAATAAATTTATGGACAGCAGCAAAAATAGTTATTTATTTGTAATTTTGTTTAATTTGTGTAAAAAGAAACCTTTGTATAATATATATACAATAAAATAAGTTAAAAACAAAAACAATCCGCTTGACTGGCAGATATAACATTGATATAGCTATGAAAATTTAACCGGTTAAAAATTTTTACATAAATTTCTTCTACACGTACAAAAACGACTTTCACAACCCTTCCACCCGTACACCTTATCTTGAAAGCATTAATTTCTCCAACGAGAAGAATATATATATATAGATTTCATGAATTCATAGAAAATAATTTGAATTGTCTCTTAGCTTGAAGAAAACCCATAATAGTTGTATTACAGGCGCGTAATATTGACATCGTAGTCACATATTAACTCTACGCTGAGGCGTTTACGGCTAAAAACAGCTCTTGATAAATGTAGCAAAATATTTATGAGAAAACAAAACCGGGAAATTGAACATTTGTTATTAACAATTAATAAAATCGCTCTTGAGTTATTGCAAACCATCACTGTGAAATTGCGGAATCAGAGCTTAGACGAAAACCAGCAATAGAAATATTACTTTGTGCTCCATCATACCCCAAACAATTACAAGATTGCCGTATCGAGACATGACAGTTATGAGCATTTAAGGAGTATTTCTCCGCGTGTTATTGGGCCTACCCCGACAATAAACGTTTTCCGTTTCACGTTCTTGTTGGCAGCTTATAGATATGATATTGGATAATGGCAAGAATCAGCAATGACGGTTTATGAGGGTACGTCGCTGTAACCATGTGTTTTCCATTCGCTTTCTTCATTGCATGAGGATTCTGCAGTTTTCACGCAGCCGAAGAAATCAAATGTGATCTTTATCGTTCAAGAGCGTTTACTGTGGCTTATAAATACCACCAACGTTCTAACATAGTGACAAGGACGTCACCAGCGGAATGTGTGTATCGACATCTTTTGTTTTTGATTAATAAACTATATCTGTTTCTTCCGATTTAATAGACAAATATTTGCTCCAAACGATTTATCCGTATCAGTAAACAGCAATATGAAGAAGGATGAGTAATTTCCTTTTAAGTATTCTAATACTCTGATATTGACGAAAGCAATCTTAACACTTTAGATGACGTCTCCTTTTGATTTAGCGCGTTCACTAGACGGGTGGATGTATCACTAGTTCACACAACCGTTCGAAAATACATGCGTTATTATGTTTCGGAATTTAAATTAAAAAGAATATGTATTTACATTAAATATAATAAGTCTAAAGAAGAAACACTGAATTAACATAAATGTACATATGAATAGCTGCCGTCCGTGGTCCTGCAACTGAGCATTAAATCTTATTGTATTATTCTGATAGTGGTACTGATTCGAAAAAAATGCTCCATTGTTGAAGAAATAATTCATTGAACTCGATATTGTACGTATCAGAAAAGAGATTGTATAAACCAAAAGGAGTTTAATATCCCTACAGGTTAATCATGATTTAAAATTATAAGCATAAACATAGACTTTTTCCGAAAAAAATTAAAGACTGAAATAAATTTTCTGTCATTTTGTTTCCTTCATTTTATTAATGTTAAGATATTTTTGCACCATAATGTTTAAAAATTAAACCGGCCAATTTTTTTGAAAAAAAAATCCCATTTTTGAAATGACGTCACCAAGAAAGGAATGGTGGCACCATATGATCTTTGGATGCTTGACATACTTCTCTAAAGAAAATAGGTGATGTTCGTTTAATTTTATATTTATTGAACACGTCATCATACATTCAGTTATATCAAACAAAAAAGAGGGTGTTGCAGTTCTTTTGTTATTTTCCCTAAAGCTGTAGCAGTTTAAAAGAAAAATTTTAAGTCACAGAAAACGGTCTAAATTTTTTTCAGATACAACAGTATATACAGCACAATGTAGAACAATATTTGCAAAATGCATATCGACTACCAATTTGCCATTAAAAGAAGTGTAAATTAGTCACATAGCAAAATAAGTCAAGTTTTCTGTTTTTCAAATAGGGAATCCCCATTGTTTTTGAAAAAATGCCTCCTTGAAACAGAATGAATTTGATATACGCATAAAGAGACAGGATTTTTCTTCAAAACTGCCATTTCCGATTTTTGTTTCAAAGAGGCATAATTTTGAAAATCACAAAAATTGAAGAAAAATTATTATCCACCCGAAATGCAAAATGTGTACATAAAATAGCACACCATACTTCAGTGTCGGAGCTGGTCTAGTGGTAAAGCGTGTGGACTCAATGCGAAGATTCTTTTTACCTGAGAATGGGTTCGAATCCTGGAATGGCTGGTACATGTATAAACATTTTTTTTTCTTATACATGTACACTATAATGGAAGAACAATGTAACAACTCTCTTGAGAGAGAAAGAGAGAGGGAGAGAAAGTTAATGGGTAATATTTTAAATGCATGCAAAATTAAATTGTTTTCCTTGATATTGTGATCTAAAACTAGTAAGACATACATTTAATGTTATTATTTAGTGGCAATGTCTTAAAAAATAAAGTACTATCATTTAAAATAATTTAATTTATTCATACTCATTTCGTTTCATTATTGTTCTGTTAATTAGTGGTTCAGATTTGACTTGAAACAACTAAATTGAAATGACTCAATGGAATTTCTTGGATATTGCATCAATAGCGTAATTATTAGACACATTTTTATATATTGAAAAATATCAACGCACGCTTTTTACAGTACATCTTTCAAAATTATGTGCGAGGTGTACTTGCCATTAATTGTGCTTTTTATCGTTCTAACTTTTCTCGTGCAATATTGCGACAGTGACCATAGATGTGAAAAAAGTTTACAGGTCGCCAGTCTATGTTAGGAAAAACTATGCATGATAACATAAAATGTGAAATGTTTTTTTATAACAAGCTGGACATACCCGCTGTATAAATAAAGTCATCTACGTAGCATTATCTATATTTAGAGATAACTCTTCATGCGTCGTGGGCATTTAAATGTCCTTCTCGATTTAGGGAATAATCACGAGTTTCTGCAACACCCTCTTTATTTATACATTTAAGCATTGAATTAATATTTTTGAGATATAGATATAGTCTCATAACTGCAATGGTGTGCGCAAACAAATTGAGTAATGCGCGTCAGCGAGTTATGAAACCGGTGCAGTTGTTTTGTTCACAATCATAGCCTATGATGTCTTGGTAAATTTTTGTTTCTACCACTTTCAACTTCTAAAGTATGGTCACTTACTCTGAATTTTAAAATAAACGGCCTGGTTTTAATTTTTTTCTTATAATAGGTATATTTTCTTCTTAAGATTCCTTATAAAGCTATTTTGAGCTACCTTTTATGGACTGTTTCAAAACAGAAGTTATCTTCCAGAG